AGTCCTCACTGGAGAGTGTGTAGGCCCTGCCTCCGAAGTGAAAGGAGATGTCGGGGAGTGTAGGCACCTGGTTACAGTCCACCACGTACTGGTGGGGTCAGGAGAGGAGGCCTTTGAGTGCATGCAAGTCCCCACCCCCACCCCCCCACCCCGCCCCTGGCAGACAGAGCATCCTGTACGTGGCCCAGCTCCTCTGCAGAGAGTTGGACTGAGCCAGTGCCCTCCCTCTGCGGCGACCAAGCCCCACATGGCACGGGTGTGTGAGAGGGGTGAGGAGGGGAAGGCTTGCCATTGGAACCCGATGCCGCTTGGACCAGTGGCACCCCCAACCCAGCCTCCCATTCTGGGGGCAGCTTACTTCACTGGAGATCAGCTCCTTAGCCCCCAGCCTGTCCATGAGCACCATCAGGGAGCTGGTGGGCCCGGTGATAAAAGACGCCCCTGTGTCCACCACAGCCACGCAGCCCTCCCCGCAGAACAGAGTGGTAGACCCCACGGACACCCTGGAGGGCAGGCACAGACAGACAAACAGAAGCTGATGGGACGCCACCCAGTGGCTTAAAGTCCCTGAGTGAGGGCAGGTGACTAGAGGCCATGCTGCTGAGGGGCTCCACGGTGGGGGTGTTATTCCCTCCCCTGAGCATGTGGCTCAGTGACAACCACCCCTGCATGTCCTCTTGCTAGCCTCCCCCGCCCTCCCGTGCCTCAGGGCTCCCCAGGCCTAAGCTGGCCTGTAAGCTGATGTTAGCAGTGACAGAAGGGGGCTGCATCTGGGGAGGGAAGGGCCGCATTTGTGGACCGTGAGCAGGCTGAGGCTCCTGACCCCTTCATGTTGATCTGCCACACGCCCTTCTTGCTGAGGCTGACATAGTGGAAGTTCCCTTCGTAGTATTTGGGGTCGCTGCCGCCCAGCACAATTTCGCCTCCCAGCAGGTGGGAATCCCTAAAGGGGAGACCGTCATCATTCTCTGAGACCCCGAGACCTAAGGCTCAGGGGGAAGCTAGACCAGGGAGAGGACACTGGGCGGGTGGCAGGGCTTGGAGGCTGTCATTCGGAAGTGTGCTCCCCTGCCCTTGCCCTTTCCTGAGCCCAGCCTGGTGCTCTGCTGGCGTTGTCCAATAAAGGACCCTCAGAGCGGGCCCAGGAAGGGGCCCAGCACGTGGACAGGCATGGGAGGCAAGGAAGCTGCACACGGGCCCTCTCACTGGGTTTCGGGTTGCTGCTGGTTGACGGGGTGTTAGGGGGAGGGGCTGTGGGCAGGTTGTGGGGTGCAGGGGGGGTAGGGGGCATGAGGAGAGCTGCAGGGAGAGGCAGAGAAGGTCGGCATCAGGTGGCGTCTGCGTTTTGGGGGTATAAGAGGTGGGACACTGAGCCCGGTACTCAGTGGGTTCTGGACGGTCAGGACCACGTGGGGCCGGGCTCATCCCCTTACTTGGAGTTTCTGTAGAGAAAAGAAATAGCAGAAGGGGACCTTTGCTTCCAGCCTCACGAGCCTGTTGCTCTGCAGAGTGGGTGGTGTGGCCTCTCTTGGCCTGCCAGACAATGCAGCCACCAAGAGGGGCAGCCGCCTCCCCGGTGTCCCTCAGGTGCCTCGTGCCCAGTCAGATCTGGTCTCCCAGCCTTCTTCCTTACACTGTGTGAGGCCTCCCGTGGCTTGGGTCCCCCCGGAGACCTGGTTTCCAGAGGGGTGGGCACATGTGCCTCAGGTGGTTTGCCAGCACCCCACGTAGGAGGCAGGAGGCCATGCAAGGGGTGCACAGGGTGAAGCTGTGTGCAAACGCCTGTTTGTCAACTCAGGACGTGTGCATGCATTAGCCTGTCCCCGCTGCCCCTCTCCAACACCTTGGAGTCTTTCTGCAAGCTCCGTCCTCTCTCCTCTCCTCAGCCAGCCCGGCCTTCTCCCCCTTGGCTCCAGCCTAATTCTGCCCCTGGGCTTCCGGCTCCATGCCCTCGCTTATCCCCTCTTCCCCATGATTTCATGCCCTTGTTTTCCATTGGTGTCCCCTCCACCCACAGGCGGGCTCAGGCTCCTCTTAGCATGTAAAACCAGCCACCTGTCCTTCTCTCCCGGGGTCTCTCCCACGCCCCCACCGTCCAGCCCCTTCCCTAGGGACTGTCTCCAGGGCAGCCTGTACGTGGGCCTGGGATATCTCATCTAACTGTTATCCACGTGCCACCTGGTCCTACCCCTACCATTCCCTCTACCAGGGCTCTGTCCAAGTCCTCCTGACTGCTGGTGCCCTTCCCTCAGGGTCTCCCTTTCTCTCACCAAACCAGAGACTCCCTGGCCTCTGAGGTTCCTCCAGACTCCAACCTTCCCCTCTACCCTCACTGCCACAGCCTCAGGGTCCCTAGTCTCCAGGGAACACTTGTCTTTCCAAACCCAGCAGCTTGGAGCAGATCCCAACCTTGCTCAAAGAGTGACAGGCGTTTCCCCCCCACCCCCACCCCTTGGGCCAGTTGGGAAGCTCAGCTCAGACCCCAAACGCTCCTGCAGTTGTCAGCCCTGTGCTCCCTTGAGTCAGTTCGGGAGCTTGCATTGCACTGTTGCGTTTGTGCCCTTGGCTTAGCGGCTGGGCTCTATGGGTGGGGGTCTGTCTTGCTCGCTGTATTCTCTGAGCTTAGCACAGTGCTCGGCCAGGATGCCCAGCACTGCCCCCAGGAGTCGATGAGTCCATGCCTGAGCAAATGAATGGAGGGATGAGCAGATGCGAGACGTTGGCTGTCTGTGAGTTAGGAGCTGGGGGCTCTCAGAACAAGGTCTCCGGGCCACAGCAGCACCCGCTCATCCCCTCTCCCCATGTTCCCCGGTTGTTCTAGGCCAGTGCCGTCCACTATAACTTGTGGCTGTGATGGAGATGCTCTGTGTCTGCCCTGTTCAATATGGCAACCGACAGCCACCGTGAATGCTCCATACTGGAAAGGCGGGTAGTCAGTAGGAACTCGGGGGGGGGGGGGGGGAACGGAGTGCTTCACTTCATGCGACTTGGGTTCATTGAGAGGTGCATGGCGGCTGCCGTGTGGATCAACAGCTAGAGCACAGCTCTAGATGGTAATTGGGTCCCGTCACGAACACATCAGAACCCCAGTGACACTCTGCCCAGTGCGACACCACCTCCCTGCCCTCCCAGGCCTTGGCCCCTGGGGCGTCCCGAGTCCCACCTGCTGTAGTAGACAGAGAAGACGTCCTCCTTCAGCACGCCCTGGGAGACGATGTTGTCGAAGACAGGGGTGACCCCGCTGATGGCCTGGGCAGGGAAGCCCATGCCCAGAACCCCATCGAACTTAGCCAGCATGAAGGGTATCACAGGCAGCTCGGTCACTTCTCCGAAAGTCTGTGTCACTGTGATTCCGCCCATCTGTGGAGGAAGGACCCCAGGAGCCCAAGCCCATGGCCCACCCGGGCTGACCTGGGCTCCCACCCGGGAGGGTGGGGGTGGGGGGGCTTCAGGGCACAGGGCTTTGGTACAAGTCCAATACGATCATTTTATCACCCCCACCCTTCAGGTTGGAGCACCACCCCCACCCAACCTCTCTCCCTGTACACATTTCTCCGTGGGGCCCGGGAGCTGAGCTTGCCCAATCACTGGAAGGGATAGAAGCCGAGACGGTGGGCCTGCCAAGCAGCCGTCGGGGAGGTTCTAAGCACATCCACGGCCCTTCTCAGGTGACCCCGCTTTCCTGGCTGTGAGACTGGGCCCTGTCCTCCTCCCCCATTCTGGGTTAGAATTCTTCAGGACAGCTGGAGCTGCCCTGCCTGTTACCTCAGAGCTGTTCTCACGGACAAAGGGAGCGCGAAGGCTCACACAGTCATTCCCTCTCAGGTTCCATGTGTACCCCCACATCCCCCCCGCCCAACCCTGACACAGGAGGGCCTGGAGAATTTCCAGAATGGGAAGAGGTCAGACACAGGCCACATGAAAAAGAAAACCAGGCCCTGGCTTCTATCCCAAAGCCTAACATCAACCGTGGTCTTAGTGCCTAGGTCTGACCCTGAAATGACCATGCCGCCTTGGCACGCTCCTGACCCAGGCAGAGCTGGTTGACCTCGGGTAGGTGGGTTATGGCACTGGAGGCAGTAACCAGGCCAGCATGTAAATGAGATGCAAAGCCCTCCACAAAGCACCCAGCTTCCCCAGGGTGGGCAGGTCTGCGCTCCCAGGCTTGGCTGCAGGATGAGTCCTTGAGAGGCAGGCCAGCGCACCCAGAGTCCTTGGAGGGAGGGAGTCAGGCGACCCGGCAGCCCCTCTTACTTACAGTCACCAAGTCCTGGCTCAGGAAGCCTCTGACCTTCCCCGACCCGTAGCTGATGCTGAATTCCGCTCCGTTCTCCACGTAGCTGGAGGACTCCGAGGAATCATAGCGGTTGTGCATCTCTGGCAGAGGGACACAGGCTCTGGTCCAGCCGCACGCCCAGCAGCAGAGGGCTGGCAGGCAGGCCGGGAGTGGCAGGGGGTTGGGGTGGGGGTACGTTTGGAGGCGTGTGTGGCTGGCGTGGTTGGGGACTTAGCTTAGGTGCAGGCATGGGGGGCTCTGAGGTCCAGGGCTTGTCAATGTGTGTTACATCAATCAAGGGCTGTGTTTCCTGGGCCCCTCTTAGGCCCACACTCCTGAGTATTTCATCTCCATTTTAACTATCTACTAACACTGCAATGGAGAGCACATTCTGGTTATTGCGTTAGCCTCTAATGGGAGGGTGCTGACCAAGGGTGGGGATGGAGGAGTCCCTGGGCCTGGGTGGGTCTGGAGAATTCAGTCAGTGAGGCTGGGATAGGGCTGGGGGCTCCTTGCTGCTGTGGAGTTAATACTGACTCCTAGTAACCCTGTAGGAGAATGGTCCCTCTGGGATTCTGATCCTGTAAATCTTTACGGGAGCAGAAAGCCTCATCTTTCTCCCTCTAAGCAGCTGGTGGGTTTGAACCACTGATCTTGTGGTTGATCAGCAGCCCAGCACATCAACACTATGCCAGCAGGACTCCTCAGACTCCTAGAGCTTGTTTCTCTTCTTTTCCGATTTTGCTTCAGTGGCCATGTCAGGCAACAGGGAGACAACTTCCTTTCTCCTCTCAGAGAGAGTCATTGGGAGCAGAGGCAGAGAGGAAGTTGCTTAAATGCAACAGGAGGGCTTTTAGCTAGACCGTGAGGCAGGACTGCCCAGGAGTGGCAGGATGTGGGTGGGGGAGCTTGGGAGCGGGTCTTACCACAGGCAGTGTAGAGAGGGCTGCACTTGCTGGAGGGCACCCAGAGGTTGGCGGAACCCGTGTCAAAGATGACTTTGAGCGTCTGGGGTGGGGTGCCAATGCCAACCTCGCCATAGTACTGGGTCTATAGGGGGAGAAAAGAGATGCTGGAAGGGTTGGGTGGGGGCATCCCCAGGGTGAGACCGCTTCTCTGGGTCTCTGTTTCAGCAGGTACTGGGTGGGAGGGAGGCTTCCCAGAAGCAGGCGCCCAGAGAGGCAAAGAAGCCACAGAGAGCTCTCGAATGGTGCCTGGGGGAGCCGAATGGGGGAGCAGAAACTCACTCGCGCTGTGCTGAGCCAGGCCACAGAAGAACACCCCAGCAGCGGGCACACAGCCCTTCCCACCCAAAAGAGGGCCTTGAGTGAGAGGCCTGGTTTCCTGAACTGCAAACCTGCCCCTGACTTGCCCTGCGCCCCTCCTGCTGCAGGCTCCCTGGCTCCCAGGTGGGGATTTTGTGAGGCTGCCTGCATTCTAGTCCCCCGGTCTCAAAAAGCGTGGGAAGCCTGGGTCTGGGGGAGCTGGAGAGACAGCCTGAGGTCCCAGGAAGAGGGGAGGCGGGAGGGGGCGAGCCGTGGAGCAGACACTCACGTCCAGGTAGTTGGTGAGGATCATGGGGGAGGTGCCGTTGCCAAGGGAGACCCTCTTGGAGAAGAGGCTCCACTCAGCACTGAGCTTGGCCACATCCACGCCTCGCTCCTTCAGGATCTCGCGGATGGAGGGCATTTTCTTGAGGAAGATCCTAGTCCGTGCAGGAGAAAACACAAACAGCCCAGGCCTGTACTCCCCCAGGGAGTCCCTGGGTGGTGCAAACCATTACCTGGCTCACCTGCTAACAGAAGAGTTGGGGGTTGAAGCCCACCCAGAGGCATGTTGAAGAAAGGCCTGGAGACCTGCCTCCAGGATATCGGCATGGAAGCCCTTCAGGCATACACTCTACTGTGAAGCGTGGGAGGGCACCCTGAGTCCAGATCGGCTCTTCCAGTCACAACAGCAACTGGTGGTCAGGTGGTGGTTTTTCAACCCTAAGGGAAGCCTCCCCCAAACCACCCTGGTGTTTGGTACAACTGCCCCTGGCCTCTCCCCACGTGCCCAAGAATCACTCCTGCTCCCTAAGGAGTCTGAAGGAGAATTTACAAGCCTCCACGAGCCACCTACGCTGCCCCGAAATAACCCTCAACCAACAATGTCCTCTGGTTGTGTCCGACCTCCATCACTGCCAGGCCATTTATCCATTCATTCATTCATTCATTCATTCCCCAGTCATGTGTGGGACACCTGCTGTGGCCTGCACTGGGCTGGGTCCTGGGGGTGTGAGAATAGACAAGGTCATCACTGCCTCCAGGGAATTCCAGTAGGAGACAGGGGGAAAGGTGCATTCAGATCTCTTCTGAGAGATGAAGGCTGGGCTGGAGGGCACAGTGCCCCCTGGGGGCTGTGGGTGGCAGGCATGAGCCAGGGGCTAGGGGGCCCAAGCGGGCCAATTGCACTGGGCAGGGGAGAGAGATCAGATCAGCAGCACCTGAGAATGTGCACCTTGCCACTGTAAAGATGGGCCTTAGGCTTGGTCCCAGCCCCTCAGCTCCTTTCCAGACCCCTACCCGTGCTGCACCCTCGAGGGGAGGAAGGGAAGAGAGCCTGAGACAGCACACCGAGCCGCTACTGGCATGTGCGGAAAGCTGCACACACACGTCGGTCACACCCTCTTCACAATTCTGCACACTGGCTCTGGTCCTCCCCAGGTCACAGAGGAGCACGCGGAAGTTCAGAGGGAGGAGGGTGACTCAGGAAGTGATGGAGCGCTGGTTCAACTCAGTGTGTCTGACTCCCCAGACTGCCCCTCACCACCACCACCCAGCATGGAGATGATTTGGACAGACCAGGAAGAGGATGTCCCCAACTTTGCAGGTGGGCTTTCTGAGATTCCGCTTTCCCAGCTGTGGAGTCTCTGTCCTTTCCTCTGCTCTCCTGGCCTTCCCTCCTCCCAGGCATGGACTCCACTCCCCTGCCTATGGTCACAGCAGCAACCATGGAAAAGCCTTGTCATATTTACAGCACAGGTTCCTGCTCAAAGCGACTGTTATCACCATTACGATCTTCCCAGGAGGTGGGTCATGGGGGCCCGGTCTACCCCTCAGGAGCTGGAGGGTAGAGAGGGTGTTGCTCCACACAGGGTACCTGCCTGCCCTTTCCTCTGAGTGGCTTCATGCTGGGGGGCTCTTAAAAACTGTATTGAGGGTGGCAAACTATATACAAGGAAGCGTTTGCCTCTTCAACCATTTTTATGTGTGTGATTCACGGGCATCCATCGCTCTCACCGGGGCCCTCGGCCATCTGTGCTCTGAGTAACCCTTAGCAGTAACTCAGTTCCCGTAAACAGCTACTTCCTCTTTCCCTTTCCCTTTCTCAACGAGCCCTGGTGACTCAGTGCCTTAAGCACTGGACCGCTAAAGGCAAGATCATCAACTGAAACCCGCCAGCTGTTCTGCCGGAGAAAGAGGAGGCCATCTGCTCCCCTAGAGGTTCACAGTTTCAGAAACCCGAAGGAGCCGTTCTATCCTGTCTTAGGGGCCGCCATGCACCGGGATCAAGTTGATGGATGTGGGTTGGGTTTGGGATTCTCGTTCCCACTAAGCCTGATAACCACAACTAACCCTGTTCTAGATGGTTCATATCAGTGAGCTCATCTGATCATTGTCCTTTCGGTTTGGGTCTGAATTCCCTCGTCTGTTTTCAGGGACATGTATCGCCATGTCATCTCTCTGTCGGCTGAGCGGCAGTCCACCGGAAGGCTGTCCCACTCTGTGTGTGGATGGACACGTGAGCTGGCTCCACCTGTTGGCTATTGTGTCTTATACCGCGAGGAGCAGTGGTGCTCAAGTCTCCATGTGCATTCTGCTTCTAGGTTTTTGGGGTGTACCCAGAAGCAGCATTGTGGGGTCATGTGGTCATTCTAAGGGAGCCTGGTGGTGCTGTGGGTTACGCATTGTCTGCAACCCTCAAGGTCAGCAGTGCAAACCTAACAGCTGCTCTGTGGGACGAAGGCGAGGCTGTGTGCGCTGATGCGATCGCCAGGCTCAGAAGTCTTTGCTCTGGGGGTGATTTTCTGTTTAACTTAAAAAACAAAAAACCAAACCAAGAACAAGAAACTCCCTTCCCTTGAGTCAATTCGACGTATAGCGACCCTATAGCACAGGGTAGCACTGCCCCTGTGGGTCTCTGAGACTGTCACTCTTTACCGGCATGGAAAGCCTCCTCTTTCTCCCGTGGAGTGGCTGGCAGTTTCCCGCTGCAACACTGTAACCACTACAGGGCTAGCGCTCCTGCACCGATTACTACTATTAGCATCTGCATTTGGATGGGAGGAAGCAGGGAGGCTGTAAACACAGGGAGGAGGGAGGGGTGAATGAGGGATTCCAATGAACGAGCGGGAAGCAAAACGGGTCTGCGCAGTTGCATGCAAACCTGGCGATCGGTTTTATAAATCTTCATCCAATTGACAATAAAAAGTCCAAATAAAATAAGACCTACCCTCTCTTACCTCCGGGCCCTCTGGTCCCATCTGCACTCCCCAGAGGGGAAACCCCTTTCTCTATGAGCCGCTGTGCCCAGCCCCCACCTTCCCATCTCCTGTGGGAATTGCTTGTTCCCAAGGGCAGCACCAAATGGATGCCAGGCCTCTCGCTTTCCACCTTGCAGTTGCTTCTCCCTCTCTGGAAGCCTCCGTGCCCCTCAGGCCCGCACAGTGCTGTTCTAACCACAGCGGGGTTCTTACAACCTGCCCGCCCCAGGCAAACTCGAGGCTGCACCGGCCTCATCTCTTCACTACGCCAAAGTCAGCCGGTGATGTGGGCGCTGTCCTTGTTTTAAAAACGAGTCCACTGAGAGCGGAGAGGCTAACCCCTTGCCCATCTTTCCAGAGCTAGTTAGTTCTGCTAGAGCTAGCAGACCACCCAGCTTCAGCAGTCTTCCACGGAACCTCAGAACCCCTGGCTGCCTCCAGGGTAGAGTTAACATCGCTTAGTACCCCTAATGTCTATTAGCGTGGGGGTGTGCCCACTACCTCAGGGCAGGGATTCTAGGCTTTGGGACAAGTCACCTGGCCTGCTGGCCTTGCGGATCCGATGACACTCCACATCTGATAGCTATACGCTCTGCGGAAAGGTGGAGATGTCCGCACCCCTGCCATCCCCTTTGGGCTGAGTTACCTTCGGAAGGCGCCCGAGTCTGCGGGGAGAGCGAAGGCGCAGTAGCCGCAGAGCACCAGCAGGAGACCCCAGCGAGCCATCCTGCTCCCTCTGTTCAGGCCTTGTCTGGGTCCTGGGTCCTCTGGCCTCCAGGAAAGCTTTGAGGCCACTGCAGCCTTCCTCTTTTTATATTTTGCCCGTAGGAGTAGGAGGTGGTTGTGACTCTCTTTGCCCTGATTTATTACTCTGTCGCAGATGGCAGAGGGGGTCAGTCATAAATTCCACCCGAGGGACCGAGCTAGGTGGGGGAGAGTATCAAGGTTTCCGGATACAGAGCAGGAGGGCCAGGGGAGGGCTGTGGGAAAGGAATGCTGTGCCCAGTGACGCCAGCGGACCCCTCTCTTGACCTGGCCCTGGGACCCCCAAGAGGCAGAGGCTGATGGGAAACTGCACTGCTCACGGACAAGGTCAGGGCTAGGACAGGCATAGAACCTCAATTTCCAAACCCCCAGCTCAGGCTCCAGCCCTTAGGACTCTTTGTTAATACGGGGTTTTCCGCGGACCGACTTCTTTTAAATGACACCTTCGTTTTCCCATCTAGAACACGGGCAAATCTTCTGGCTGTCCCTTGGCAGAGCCAGACCAGGCCCCTCTGTGCTGTCACTCTCCCAACTTCCTATAGCAGCCGTGTGCAGAAAGTGCCACAGGGGTGGGGTGGGGTGGGTCTCTGGGTGTCGGAGACGGAGCGCCCTGTGCACCCTCGGTCCACCTGCATGGCAGGAGGGAAGGAGAGTCCCCTGAGGCCCGGGGAGGCATCTGTTGGAGAACCCAAGTAGTGCAGGTGACTTTCCAACTTGTCCTCTTTTTTCTAACTTGGTCCTAATGTAAAGTCAGCAGTTCAAACCCACTAGCGGTTCCTCAGGAGACAGATGAGGCGGTCTGCTCCTCTGAAGATGTGCAGTGTGGGAAACCCTCTGTAGCGCCATCCTGAGTCAGAAGTGCCTCCCCGACAGTTGGTTAGCTCCTGTGTAAACCTCGCCCCTTTCCCTGGAGCTTCGCAACCTACCTAGGGCAGTTCCCCAGCACATACCTGTTCCTTAAATCCCAGGATGGGTGCTCCTGAGTCAGCCAAGGATGTCCTCTCCAAGCACCCCCTATTCTTCAGGACCCCTGCTCCACAAAGGAGCAGGACCCCAGCCCGGCCCGCGACGGCCTCCCCCAGCACAGGGCAGCATGCAAACCCTCCTTCAGCCTCAAAGCAGGCCGTGGATGTCTGCACAGTGGCCCCGGTGCAGCTGCGCAGTGCTTCACACACTATCTACGGGAGGTTCGACTCAGTCACATGGGGTCACTGGGAGGCAAAAGTCCATGGGCTTGCCCTGAACAATAATAGCCCTCCCGGGTCTGCCTCCATCCTCAGACGGCAATCTTCCTTCTGGAACCCTGGGTCTCTTCTCCTGTCAGGATAGGTCCACTCTGCTAGAACAGGATCCTCCTGACTCCACTGAGACTGGCAAGGTCAAGTTCATAGGACCCAAGAGGCTCAGGTAAAGACTTCAGTGTGTATGTTGAGAACAATTTACCCCATAGCAGGGAGTGATGGTACGGAGAGGTTCCTGGATGGCTAGTGGAAGGGAGTCCGGAGTCTGAGGACCCATTGAGTGTGGGGCTCCTCTGGGGCCTTCCCAGGAGGATATCAAATGGGAGGTGCATGTTTGCGTCTGGGTGAAATACTTAGGCATTGTTTGCAATAGAAAGGAGCCCTGGTGGTGTAGGGTAATGCATTGGGCTGCAAAGCCAGCAGTTTGAGACCACCAGCCGCTCCTTGAGAGAAAGATGAGGCTTTCCACTCCTGTAAAGAGCTCCAGTCGCAGAAAGCCACAGGGACGGTTCCACCCTGTCCTCTAGGGTCACGGGGGTCGGGATCAACTTCATGGCAGTGAGAGAGCGAGTGAGTTTGCAATAGATACTGAATGCCGCGTGCTTGGATGAAGTTAACCAGGGAGAACCTAGGGACAGAAAGGCCTGCCTGGGACCCCCACGCTTCAGTAGGCCAGCAGTGCAGGACGAGTCTGAGGAGGACGTTGGACAGGAGCAGCCAGGGAAGCAGGAGAAAGCCCGGGGGTGCTGTGTCTCCAGGACCTCAAGGTATGTATGTGTGTATGTGTGTGTGTTTGTATCAAGAAGAGGTGGCAACAAACAATGGGTGTTGCCACAAGGTCAGGTCAGACCTGGGTTGGCAAGTCATTATGCAGCCCTCGGTCCTGCTTGACAGGGCTGTGTAGGTGGGGCCAAGGAGCCAGGAATGCCAATGGGGCCAGGCTGAGGATGATGGGAACCCAGGAAATGAAGTCAGCATGGTGTAGGCAGCTATTTTGGGAAGCTGGGGTGTACAGGAGAGGGCATTAGTCCAGGTTGACTAGAGAAACTATTTCATAGACACTCATATGTGAGTAAGAGAGAACTTTATATCAAAGCGTAATTGTATATTAGGAAAACATCCCAGCCCAGTCCAGTTCAAGTCCATAAGTCCGA